GAAACCGTGTCAAGTTCCCAACTGCTAAACCAATCATAAAGATGATCCCATTCATGTTTTAAATGCAGCATGGCTGGACAAACCCTGATTCTGGTTGCTGTGCCCACAGGGACTGTCCTTCCTTCGTGAGGCCTCTGTCTGTCATTGAGTGTGGTCTAAGCGAGGCCGAGATTTGCACTTCATATGTAACTGGTGAGACTCTCCTGTAAATCCTGCGTGCTTAATGCTGACAAAGCGAAGAGTATAAGATGCTTATGTTCCATTGAGTTAATTGAGATGTAGCATGTTCTACATGATCTTCCACCTTCCTGTACAGAGAAAATACTGAGAATGTATTTCACATTTCCAGATCATCTAAAACCAAGATTGGGTCCGTTCCCCTGGATTAGGAATGTGATATGAATGGTTTTATGTGGGGATGCACTGATACCATTTTTTTCCTGACCGAGTACGAGTACCAATACGTTTCCTCAAGAATTTGCCGATGTCAATTACCGATACTCTTTTTTTAGTGTCATGTGACAGTTTTTCTAAAACAATACGGATTGAGGATTTTTGGACAGTGGCGGTCAAAGCTGCAAACGCTGTGCCCCTGTTTATTCTGACACCGACTCCAAGCTGTAGATGGACCACAAATCCCAGGGATACATTATACAGGTATGCAGAATAATACCATCAGCTAGAGACAACTACAAATATCAGCGATACATTATACAGCAATGCCGAATGGCAAACGGCTATAGAGGAGCACAAATCACAGCAATACATTATACAACAATGCAGAATAATACAATCAGCTAGAGAGGACTACAAATCCCAATGATACATTATACAGCAATGCCAAATGGCAACCGGCTATAGAGGACTACAAATCTCTGCAATGCATTACAAATGAATGCAGAATAATATGAAGCTACATACTCTGTGCTACTCTGGGGCCGGCCTGATATCTCCAGCGAAAGATCTCAAGAGAGCTGTGTGGGGTCTCAAGAGGCTGTGCGAGATCTCAGGTGAGCTGTGCAGGGTCTTAGGAAGGCTGTGCGGGGTCTCAGGGGGGCTGTGCGGGGTCCCAGATGGGCCCTGAAGCGTGGTGGGTGCGGCAGCGTGGTTTTAGGAAGGAGGAGGAGATGTGTGGCCATCGCTGTAAACAGGCGCCACAGTTTACAGGAACACCACTGACCTGCTTGCTGGGGACCCCGGCAGCCTTCCTGTGAATGGCAGCGCCTTTTTACAGCACCGGCTTCAGTTTAAACATTTAAAGTACTCGTGAAAATACCCAGTACCTGCACCGATACGGTATCAGTATTGGTGCATCCCTAGTTTTATGTTATCTATGGCTTCACTATCTATCTATCTATCTATCTATCTATCTATCTATCTATCTATCTATCTATCTATCTATCTATCTCATAATAATAATAATTAATATTCCTTTCAATGTAAATTCTTTTTTGGGGTTTTTGGATGTTGCTGCCCAGCTTGGGGTGTCCCCCCTCCTCCAGTTGGGTTCTCCATTTAAAATAAATAATTAAATATAAAAAATCCTGCAGGGAAAATGGGCCTTCACCATCATCAAGATGGCAGGTGTGCAAACCTGGAATTCCAGCACAGAGAGGTTAAAGCATGGGTGTTATTTTGCTCAGTAATGTGTATTGCCTTAAAGGAGAACTATGAGGTGAGTGATTTTTCACTCAACCTCATAGTTCGAGCCGACGTGTGACAATGAAACTGTCACAGGTCGGCTCAATAGATCGGGAAGTGAGCGAACACATACCGGCGCTCGCTCACTTCTCGATCATGTCCCTGCAGAGACCCGTGACTGTCACTCACTGTTCCCTGCAGGGATTCCCCCCCTCTCTGCTCCGATCCACCAGTGCTGACTGGCGGAACGGACGGGGGAGGGGGCGGGTACAGCTGGCTCTGCCTCTAGGTCGGCAGAGCCAGCTGTCACTCACGCAGCTGGGTGGATCCAGACAGTAATGTCGGGATCCGTGCAGGCTGTGGCGTTCTCAGTATACCGCAAGCTGTAGCTCGCTATATACTGTGCTTTGGGTCATGGGAGGACGTTGGTATATGTCCTCCCATGACCCTAAAGGTGGCCATACACTGTTGTAAAGTAATTTAAAAAACGTACGATCTGCCCATCTTGGAAAGGCAGATCGTACTTGCGATCATCGCAAGCCCGCCTCCCTGAGTGGCGGGCTTCCGATGACTGCAATGCTGAACGGGCAGTGTGCGCATGCGCACACCAGCCCGTTCGGCAGTTGTCGAACAAGAAGGCCACAAGCATGTTTTCCAGACGTGCGATCGTACAGTATAAACGGTCGCACGCCTTCCATACACTATGCGATTATGCACGCCTTCCATACACTATGCAGGATTTCCTGCGATTATCGTACGATAATCGTACAGTGTATGGGCACCTTTAGGAGAACTATGGGGAAAACACTTACCCCATAGTTCTCCTTTAAGGCCATTCACATCGAAGGGACTGCCAATGCACCACAACACATACTAACTACTATACAGTACGTTGGGCTGCCTTTTACAATGACATGTTGAAGCACCTTGTGGTAACACGCATTTTAACGCACTTTATGACAACACATAATCTGAATAGACCCATCAAATATTTGGCATCCCCTGAGCCTAAAGGCGAAGCCCAATACTAGATAAAGACTGGGGGGGGCCTGGTACAGTATAACACACATTATATTCCACTCATTAATCCCTGTGACAAATTGCTTGTCTTCGTTGTTAACATGCTTTTAATCTAAAATGTGCTGACTCTGTATTTCCAACCTTTGGAACAAATTAAATTATAATCTTGACATCTCTGATATTCTGCTCTTGTGTTCCTTCTGATTTAATAGGGATTTCTTTTCAGCGAGTTCAATGAACTGAATCCAAAGCAGCTGGATTAACCCTTTCATCTCCCACACACCGTGCAGGGAGGGCATCTTAGTTTTATTTAGTAGTCTGAAGGGTATTGTGTACAAAAAGAATATGAAATATGACACAGATTTACAGAGGGGGCTTTTATTTTAAATACAGTATAAGAGGACTGCAGGGCAAAGCAGCATGTTAACTTTAAATCCAGACTCTGCAGCTGTACTCACCTTCCCTTAGTGCCCGGATGATGGAAGCAAAGAGAAGAAGCTTTGTGTAAACTCAATTTTAGACAGCACCCAGAATTCTCTCCCAGCACCCTTTTAATAGTATTGGGCCAATCACCAAGCACCAGGGCTGTTACATGAGAGAAAGGAGAGTCACAAGTTTCCCATAAACTTGCATTTCTCTTTGCTCTCCATAGCGAACAGATCGGAAAGGGGGTAGGTGGTTATTTGAGGGAATGTGTGTTTATGCCGGAAGGAGGTTGGCATTAAACGTGACCCCTGCATGGGCAAAATACAGAGTCACTTCAATCCTTTCGCTGCCAGAGCCATATTCACATATTTTGTTTTGGACATGTTAAAAACCTGAATCATATATTTGCTGAAAGCACGGACCCTGTAGAATAAAATGGCGGCAGTTGCAAATTTTGATCCCATGATTTCAGTAAAAAATACACTTAATTTCTTTTCAGTGCACAATATATTGAGCATTTTATTTTTAAATATAAAAGATGAGGTTGTGCCGAGTAAATAGATAGCCAACATGCCAATCTTAATAATTGCGTGCATCCATGAAGCGGCAAAAAACTACGGTTTAGAGTTAACCCTAAATATTGGCCATAGAGTTATTGCTCTCACTTTGGGGCACGCAGAGATACCTAACATGTTTTGTTCCCCATGGTCCCTGTGTGTGTTGTAAAGTAGTCACGGCTCCAATCTCGCTCCTGTGATGGACTACAATCTCAATACAAATTTGTAAACTAAACATGAGATTGTAGTCCATCCCAGGAGCGAGCTTGGAGCGGTAACTACTTTACAACACACACAGGGACCATGGGCAACACATGTAGCCCCCCTCCAGAAGGAAGGAGAGTGTCAGCGCCAATTCAGAGATGATTGGAGGATCTACAGCCGAGTATTACACAAATAATATACATTGTTGTTAATAGTTAAGGGACTTGAATGCATTTTTAACATTTAACTCATGAGCTTGGTGTCACTTTAACTCCTTTATCCCTGTCTCCCCTTAGCAAGTATTTTGCTTCTGATTTCTCTTTTCAATTCCATTTTTTTTTTATATAACAATAACATTTTTACTTTTTTTAATTGTTCAGTTATTTTTTTCTTTATTTTATAAAAAAAGAAAAATCACAAAATTGAAAAAAAAAACAACAACACGTTGCTACGCTTTAAAATAGAAACTTAATTTTGCTGTCAATATAAATGTGAAAAATCATAGAATAAAATGTGCATTTTTTTAAATCTACAGTCACATTTTAGTTAGTAGGGTCTAGTTAGTAGTTAGTTTTAAAAGTGAACTATAACTTTTTTTTTTTAGCTTTACTTCTCTTTTGGGTCACAGGAGTATATTTATTAATGTGTAACCCAAAGTCATCATATAATGGAATACAGCCCACTATATGACAGCGCAGAGCTATGCTGCAACCAGGAAAGTTCCTGATGATATTGTCAGGATCCACCCTTCTGCCTGATTGACAGTTGGCTTTACCTCTCTAGAGCCAGTGCAAGCTATGCCCGCCCCCTCCCCTGTCTGTACTTCCAATGAACACTGGAGGAACGTAGAAGGGAAGGAGGAATCCCTGCAGGGAGTGGTGAATGACAGTCAACGCTCTCTGCAGGGAGAAGCTGTGAGCTGATCAATCAGTTGTTTATAATCACTCAGTTCTTGAGCTACAGAACCGGCGTATGACAGCTGTAGTGTTCAATAATCAAATGGAACCCACCGCACACCTGACCGGACAAAACCCTCGAGTACCGGGTGGGTGCCAAGCGACAGCAGATCAAAGTGAATGTAAAAAAGGTCACTCACACTCCAGCTCAAATTCAGTCAATATTTATTGACCTCTGTAGTGTCAGAGCATAGCGATGTTTCTGAACTGCTTGGTCAGAGTGGAGTGTGAGTGACCTTTTTTACAATCGGTTATATGAATTCACCTGCACGCCATACAGCGTACAGACCTTGGATGAAAGGTTGGTCGGTGCTTGAAGACAGAGGAGGCGGGGCCCGGAGACGGAACAGGAGGTGGGGCCCGGCGACCACAGAGGCAGACAGCGCTGACAGGTAAGAGATCTCAGACCCTGCAGAGCCCACTATAGAGAGTCTATGGTGGGCTCTGCAGGGTCACTCTCCGGTGGGCTCTGCAAGTGGCATAACTAGCAATCACGGGGCTCCATACAAAATTTTGCTATGGGGACCTGTGATTTCTAGTTACGCCCCTGGTCATACAGCCAACCTTTCGGAGCCACACAGGGTCCCTTCTTCATATGTCGCCCAGAAGAAGGGACCCTGCATGCCCCCGAAACGTTGGCTGTATGACGCATGTGACGATTTAATAAAAAGTGTTTTACTTCTTGCACACATCATCGAGTGCTGGTAACTTCTATCATGACGTTTTTTACAGTCACGTTGATAGCTACAGTGTCTCACGCCGGTTCTAAGCATTGGGAAGAGTACATTTTACTCTCCCAATACTTCTCCTTTAAAACGAACACTGATCAATCTAGAAATTATTTTTTTTTACAACTTTTGTCTATAAATTGGATAGAAAATAAAAAAAATTTTTGCAAGGCAATACTGCCAAGAGAAAGTCTTTTTTTTTGTACCAACATAGTGATAAATGTATTAGATTGATATCTTAAGTAATGGCAAAGTTATCACCGAATCAATAGGCCCATGAAATGTGAAATGTAAAAATTCCTCTGGGCTATAAGGGGCCGTCAGTTGAACTGGACAAATATTTCACTAATCATTTGATAATTTTTCACCTACAAGCAATAAATCAGGCTGCTTTGGTAACTGACTTGCACTATACTGCTTTAGAAAGCATCATATAAGGGAAGTAGGGAATAATGTGAAAGTAATTCATGTAAGGCCTCATTCACACTGCTAAGAGCCGTGCAGCGTGCACAGCTGTATCGGGCCGTTCCTGGGAAGGACAGGTGTGCATGTGATTGTACGCAGCAGCCTGTTCTTCTCTATGGGAGTACGCGGCCGTACGGTCACCCGAACTGCACATCCGTGTGGGTACGGGTGTCCATCCTCGGACGCAGACAGGATAGATCCTGTCTGCGTCCGAGGACGGGCACCCGCACGAATGTGCAGTTCGGGTGATCGCATGGCGCCGTACTTCCATAGAGAAGAACAGACTGCTGCGTACAATCATACGCAGCACCTGTCCTTCCAGGGAACGGCCCGGTACGGCCGTGCACGCTGCAATAATCTGTACGGGCCGGCTCTTAGCGGTGTGAATCAGGCCTAACAGGTCCTGGAACATCTTGTATATTCTCACAGTTTAGTTTGCTGTTAATATAGAACAACATGTTTTTTGCACTTCTGTATTGTGTGAAAATATTATAAGAGCTGTTTTCCCTTTTTAATTAATTAATTTTTTGTTCTGTTTGTCTCTTATTTTTTACAGGTAGACCCGAAACTGTAGATTCATGGCCTGTGAAGGACTTTAGCGTGGCCTTATCAAGTTACGATGTTTTATCATTGTCCACATCTTGGAGACTTCTTGTGGAAGAAATCAAGACTCCAAGGTTCCCATCTTCTCCGGATCCAGAGACCTTTAAGAACGTTCCCGATTCAGGCGCTCCCTTGTTTTTTTTTAATAGGGTTGCTCATGAAACCTTTGGGGGTGCAGTGTGTGAACTTCACGGTGGGCGTGGTTGGTCCGTGGAAGTGCGACCCCCTTTTCTCTAAGGCCTTGCCAGAATTGGCTGCACGTTTGGCGGTGACCAAAATCAACAACGACTCCTCACTACAGCTGGGCCACAAGCTGGATTACAAAGTCCTGGAGGAAAACTGTGAAACCTCCAAAGCGTTAGTGGATTTTGCAAACTTCGGTAAAGACTCTGCTGCATTTCTAGGGCCGCAGAACCCAGGTTACTGTGATGCCGCATCGCTTTTAGGAAAAAGTTGGGACAAAGCCATTTTCTCCTGGGCTTGCATTAACCCTGACCTGGATGTCAGAGATAGCTTTCCAACATTTGCCAGGACTATGCCAACACCGACCAAAGTTTTGTTCCAGTTTATGAAGTATTTTAGATGGGCTCATGTTGGGGTGGTATCTTCCAATGAGGACATCTGGGTGGACACTGGAAGGAAGGTAGCTAGCGCACTAAGAAATCACGGACTTCCTATTGGAATTGTCACAAATATAGGCAATGGCGAGAAAGGCATTAATGATACATTGGCAGCTATAAGGGACACGTATGATCTCAGAGGTAAGAAAAAGTGAATTGCTGATATACTTGGGTATATTTACTGTATATCTTTCCATTTCAACAATGTTCTCACCATCCCAATGTAGTCACCATCCAACACTAGGTCTTACGTTTCACTTATTTATTTACTTACGCTTGTCTTCATTGATTTTTATGCCACTAAGGCTGGGTTCACACCTGGGCGTACTGTAGGCGCATTTTTTCAACTCATTTTTTCAGCTCGTTTTTTAGCTATTTTTTTCGTTCATTGAAACGCGCGTTCGACGCTCATTTTTATACCTCCTTGGCAGTATGATTTTAATTAATTTTTTCCTTTTATTTTCTATCTTTTTTTCGGGGTTTTTTTATTTTTAACTTTCAAACTTCCTGCCGGTTCCGCCCCCCTGCGACGCGGACGTTTGCAAGGGACGGACCCCGGAATACGGCAGCGGCCGGAGGACACAGCGGGGATTGCGGACAAAGTTAGACCTACGCTGTATTCCCGAGTGTGGCTTGGGGTTACCGCTTTGTTAAGTACTGTAGGCGCATTTTTTCAACTCATTTTTTCAGCTCGTTTTTTAGCTATTTTTTTCGTTCATTGAAACGCGCGTTCGACGCTCATTTTTATACCTCCTTGGCAGTATGATTTTAATTAATTTTTTCCTTTTATTTTCTATCTTTTTTTCGGGTTTTTTTTATTTTTAACTTTCAAACTTCCTGCCGGTTCCGGCCCCCTGCGACGCGGACGTTTGCAAGGGACGGACCCCGGAATACGGCAGCGGCCGGAGGACACAGCGGGGATTGCGGACAAAGTTAGACCTACGCTGTATTCCCGAGTGTGGCTTGGGGTTACCGCTTTGTTACCCCCGAGCCACACTCAGGAATATCAATGGATACGCGCGGAAATACGCCCCAAAAGAAGCTCCTGTACTTGTTTGGGTGTAGGGCGTTTCTACGCCCTGAAATATGCCTAGGTGGGAACCATGCCCATAGGAAATTATGGGATTTCACTTGCTGAGCGTTTTTCAGTGCTTTGATCAGCGCTGGAAAACACCCAGGTGTGAACCAGCATTAAAGGCACAGAAGGATCAGACTGACTAACATCTGTGGCCAGGCTATGGACATTGAAGTATTTACATATTCATTTAAGCAGTAAATGAGGTTTAAAAGAAGCCCTAGCTAACAGTAGCTGCAGGTATTGTTGAACAATGCATCTTCAAATACATAATAAGTTAGGTTGAAATCAGTTTCTTGTACTTGCTATTTATATGAAGTTTAGGGATGGCAAGCTGCCACATCCCTTCTGCCAGAGCAGGCATGGGGAGAGGAGATGCAGTTTCAGTGCTTCTGTTCTGAACTTTAAGGATGAATTTCTCCACAGTGTCTGTAGCCAGTGAAATCAATGAGGGCTGAGCTTCTGCTCCGGCTAGAGGCAGGGAGGTGACCGAGCTGTATAGCCTAAACAACAATATAGAAAAGTCAGACCACCAACTGGACTCTTCTGTCTCAGGGACTGCATAAATCTCAACAGTGGATGGGCAGAGGTGGGAGGAACTACTTTCACATACCTACATCAACTCTGCACATAGCTGCTAGCCTGTAGTTTAAAGAAAATCTTTAAGGACAATGTAATAAAGAGTGGCTCATTCCATTACCTAAAAATGTTGCTTTTCACCTTAAAAATACATGTGGAGCAAAGTTAAAAAAAATATACTTAACTTACATTCAGCTTTCACTAATGGCACAGGTGGTTATATGAACCTTCAAACAGACATGTGCAATTAGTTCCGAATTTAAATTTGTAAGAATTTCCAGAAATTTTTCAGAAATTCGGACATTCATTCATTCACCAAATAAACAGTAAAATTGTAAATAAACACACAACACCGTATACTAAGTCCTTTATCTGAAAAAAAGACCACACACAAAGGTTTTTGACAAGTCCTTTATTACCTGTCAATGTGTGGGGTAACAACTACCCCTTACTCATTCACGAGGGGGGGCGGGATCTGGATACCCCTTTATGAAAGGGGCACACGGATTCAGATAAGCCCCCCTGCCACTCAGACCCCCACAACCACTGGGCCAGGGTTATGGGGAAGAGGCCCTTGTCCTCATTGCCATGGGGACAAGGTGCTTTTTCAGGGCGTCCCCCCTGGAAAAGCACCCTCCCCATCTCGAGGGCATGTGGCCTGGTATGGTGCAGGAGGAAGGGTCTGATAATGGATATTACACATTTAAAAAAAAAATATTTTTTTAGTTTTTTGGGATCCCCCCTAAAGTTCCTAGCAGACCTAAAGGGTATGGTATGAATTGGGGGGGGGGGCATATTTTTTTTTATTATTTCTGTGAACTGTCAAACGTTAAAAATAAAACTGTAACTTTTTTTTTTAATGTCACTTTGCTGCAACAAAAATGAGTTTGTATTTATCTAACACATCCAATGATATTTCAGGAATGTATTCATGCAGACATACCACTTTAAAGACCCAATTTTCCTGTGCTGTAGCTCAGTAACACTCACAGGTCTCCAAGTCCTCAGCAATACCACCCTGCGAATTGTTCATTCATGCAGATTTGTGAATTTGGTGTAAGGACCACTCTAGAACTAAACTCTAGCCAACAAGTCATAGGCTCTATTGATCGGGAACTGAGCGATCACATACCACTGATTGCTCAGTTCACGGTCTTCTTGCAGAGAGCGGTGACTGTCAGTCACGGCTCCCCGCAGGGATTCCCCCTTCCTCTCTCCATTCCTCCAGTGCTCATTGGATGGACCAACAGAGGAGAGGGCGGGCACAGCTGGCTCTGACTCTAGAGGGGCAGAGCCAGCTGCCAATCAGGCAGCGGGGAGGATCCTGATAATATTGTCGGTATATTTCTGAGCTGCAGTGCGGCTCTGTGATGTCAGCATATAGCAGGCAATAGTCTGCAATATGCTGAGTTTTGGGTCCCAGGAGGACAATATTAAATGTCCTCCTGGGACCCAAAAGAGAACTATGGTAAAAAAAAGGTTTTGCCATAGTTCTCTTTTAAATACCCAGATGCAGTAAATTACATATATGGGAGGCATACAACTCTGCCTGCCAAAGAAGTAGACATGCTTTTCCTGTGTTGTAGCTCAGTAACACTTACAGGTTTCCGAGGAGAAGCAGAAGACTGATGAGCTCATCTCTCTGTCACTCTTCTCTCTTCTTCTATCAGCATGATTTTTGCACAGGGTCGGTTTAAAATGGTTTCACGGTTTAAAATGGTTTCACGCATGATTCATACAGCTTTCACCCAAGATTCACACATTTTTCATTTAGGAGTAAATAGACTTTGTTTTAAAGAATACAAAGCTGCATTCATTAATGTCAATTTGGAGTTTCTCTTGATATCCTGCCCCACCTATATTCCAGTATTATCTTCACTACAGACTTTCCCAAGCTAAGCCTACATTTATGGTGTCTAGGATACAAAGCGTATCAGGCAGAGCCTCGGTCAAATCTTTAAACTCTATTTATGCCGATAGTATAACTGATACGGAATTAATTTGGAGTCAGCCCAACTTGTGCCATGAACTTTTGTAACTGATAAGCTGAAAAGCTTGACACGATTGATGACTTCAGTGTAACCTTTGGCTAAAAATGCCATTTCTTTTGCTCTCTGCCAATCTGCAAAAGGCAACATTTCTTATTTTTTGACAGTCATGCTCTTGTGCGGTTATAAAAAAAAAAAAAAGAAGAACAAAAATAAGAAAGGAAATAATAAATATTCCCAAGATCAAGAAATCTGAAATGAGCGTGAATATTAAAATAATTGACAGCAAGTAAACAAGCATTGCGGCTCTGAGCCAGAAGTTACCTAATACAGTCTAAACAAGATGTTTTTTATATTATTATTAATCTGTCACAACTGGTGGGCAAAATTGGATTTCATAGTGTGCTCACCCATGTTACAGATCAACAGAGTAAGCCGGTTAATTGGATTTAAATTCCTAATTTGTATCTTGGCTATTGTGTGATGCCTTCCAACTTTTAGATTTATCCAAAATGTTATTTATACTTAAAGCTTATCTAAACCCAAGAACAACACTATATAATATAATATACCGTATTTGCCGGCGTATAAGGTGACTGGGCGTATAAGGCGACCCCCTAATTTTTCTGTTAAAACATAGGTTTTGGGCTATACTCGTATAAGAGGAGTATAGTCCAAAATAATGTTTAAATGCACCCACTAACCTCCATGGCGTTATTCCCGAGTGTGCCGAGTGTGCCTCGGGGTTAATTTTCAGTACCATAAGCGGTAACCCCGAGCCACACTCAGGATTACAGTCTCTTACCTTGTCCACGTCGCAGGGGGGCAGAACCGGCGGGAATTTTAAAAGTAAAAAAAAAGAGAAAAAAAATAGAACAAAAAAAGAAAGAAAGAAAATAAAACAATCAAACCGCCAGGGAGGCTAATCTGTTAGCCCGTTGGATATGCGGTAATACTGTATGTACGGTAGCTTTGTATAAGACGTATAAGACGACCCCCGATTTTCGGGGGATGTT